ACATAGCACTGCAAACCCTTAGCCTCCCGCCACACGAGTGCAGGTATCGGAAACATTACTGCAAAATACTGCAGCATTTTACTGTATGGCCCCACCGCTACACATTAAGGAGTCTCCTGCCCTGATAGTGCAGGCAAACTAAACACAGTCACATCTTTGATGTGCAGCCTTACCCTCAGTAACCTCTATGGAAAAAATTATGAAGCCACAACAGAGCTCAAGATCACAGGGCAACAGATCACAGGGGAGAGGGCCTGGGAGAGAGGAGGAAGGCGGGAGGGAACATTCAGGATAAATGGCAGAAAACTGAGGCACAAAAGGCTCCTCCAGACCAAACCACAGCCTTCAACTGCCCTCCTCAACCACCAGATGTGCTCGTGGGGCAAGCACAGAGGAGATAACAGGGCTGGCCAGGAGCTCAAGCATGCACGGGGGATACGGAGAGCACCAGTGCGCCCTGGGAGCAGATAACCTGTCATCAGGTCTTCCCAACCCTTTGGCTACAGCCTGACTCCCTCGTCTCCTTCTCTCCTGGGAAGCCCCTGGATCACCACACTTCTCTTCCTCCCTCACCCTGGTATTCTGTTCCCTGCTCCTTCCCAGGATGACTCTCTTTAGAAACCAATTTCTTTTGGTATGAAATATCATGTGTCTGATCTCTGCTCGAGTTTTCTTGGAAAGTCTGAGCAAAATTAGTTCAGCTGCTGACTTATGTCAGAAAGGGAAGGGGGGGGGAAAATAACAGAGCTCCTTCCCCACGAGCTCCAAGTGGAATTTTTGCACTCACATAACTCGAAATTGGCTCTTTATAAAAAAATGTTAAATTCACATCTCTGTTTCCAGTGAGTCTTAAAGGTCCCTCCAATAAATCTAGTTGTTAGTGTAGATGTTGGGGCTATGGAAAAAGCAGGAGGGAAGCATTGCTGGCTCTGGCACATTCCATGTGTGTTTTTCCAACTGAGCTGAAACATCTCTGTTAAAGGATGCCCCTCTGCTAACAGCCCACCAGCTTGGGCAGATGAGCCCCCTGGGCCTGCATCAACCCCACACACCCTTGCTTCTTGAATGAAACAAGATTTGATTAGATGAAATTCAGAAAGCCCTCAGCATCTGGGGTAAGAAACTAAACTTCAGAAGACAGGACAGACTGGATATCATGGTACCAGTGTAGCAGCACACAGTTTCTATTCTTGATTTCCCTCTAGTCCCCTTCCGCACAAAAAAACAGAGGGCATATTTCTCCAGGAGCAGCTGGATTTACTGCCACAGAGGTTCAAGCCAGGGAGGAAGGGTCAGGGGTGCTGTACAGTTTTCCTCCTCATGCCACACACAGCTGAGCTTTGCAGCACCAGGTTTGGGTTTCCAGTGCTGCTCTTTTGTCTCCTCACTCAGAAAATGATAGGGTTACAGAGCAGGAAAAACAGTTTTTGGACTCCAAAAAAAGGCAAATACCTCTAGAGACAGCAGACTTGCACTGTCAGAAGGGAAACAGGCTGGTATACAGTTACCTCTAAAAAGTTCTCCCCTTAAATGGGGTGCTCAATGGCATTAAACACACCTCTTGCTGAAAACCTTTTTAAGCCTTCAGCTTGAAATCATGGTGATAAACCTGTAGCAGAAAAGCCATTAATCTGTTCTACCATGTCACTTCTCATGATCTGAGTGGAGACATTAAGCCATTTTCACACATGGAAGTGTGTGAAGTGATGGAGGGTGATGTTTTCCAGTTCACAGGGCACTGGTTTTCACCGCTGCATTTGATGCCGGTGGGCTGTGCAGTTACAGAGGAGTTACTTGATACCACTGAGAGGAAGCTCTCCCACCTGCAGGATGGGGAAACGTTTTCCATAGGGTGATGCTTGTGAGCAACATGTTAAAAGCGGTTTAGGAACAGCAGCTCTCCGTAACCCTGACAGAGCTTCTCTTTCGGCATTAATGATTGTGTGCGGGGTTTTTTGGTTCTGCTGGACTACAGATGAAGAAATCTGAGAAACCCCGATGGCTGGTGTATATGTATGCACACACAATCTAGACTCCTGCTCCACAACCTGATCCCATTTGACTATATGGAAAAATAAATGCACTCACACCTCCCTCTTGGGCACTCTGCAAGCTGCAGCCTGATGCCAAAAGCAAACTGGAAAAGGACAGGTACCGATACGCACTATGTGCTGTTTGAGGGTTGTGCTCCATGCTGAGCTCAGAGCAGACCTGAGGGAGGCTCATGCAACGCAGCACTGACCACCAATACACACAAGATGGCCCTGATGGCCCCCTGCACAAGCACTGGCCTGTAGTCATGATCCCACTCACCTTTCCTTCCAGCCCAGTCAACAATGGCTTCACAATGAAGCATCTCCCAGACCTAGGAGGTTACAGCACTCCAGAGAGCCCTATTTGTTCCAGGAAGATGGGAAGGACCCAACCCCCGGGCAAACGCTCTCCCCCAACACCATCCCCTTGTCTCTTTCCAGCCCTCGTTTAAAAGCCACCAGCTACTACCTTTGAAATGGTTCTACCATTACAAGGCAGACCCCAGTGTGCACAGGGGCTGAGCACCCAGGTGGCCACACACTGGATCCAGGGCATGGCACCCCAGTGCTGCTGGGCAATGAGCCCTCCAGCTGGGGATGTTTCCAGGTTCTAAATAATACTAAATATATAATTTATAAATAGTACTAAATATACTAAAGAATGCTTAAAGGACATTAGTCCTTAATTTCTGATTGCCCCAGCATACATTTTGGGCTTGCACCATATCTTTTGTTCCATAAAGAGGCCTGGCTCAAATCAGAAGACCAGGAGAACCCCCACCCAGCACTTATTTCCATAAGGCATTCAAATATGATCTGGGATTGGAGGAGGGGGAAGCACATTGCGCCTGTCAACTCACGTGTGGCATGCCTGCTGTGTGCTTTGCATGGGCAAGGAGCCAAGCCTCATGTGCCTGGTGAGCCAGAGGACAGCTCTACTCACACCCTGTGCTGAAGAGAATTGACCCAGCCGTGACTTCAGCGGGAGTCAGGAGAACACACCCCAGCATGGGCACCATCAGGATGCAACTCCCCTGACATCTCATACATTTGTATTTCTACCGCTTTTGAGGCTCAGACTTATGGGAAACAACCCACCCCCCCCCCGCCCCAAAAAAAAAACAACCCAAAAAACCAACCACCCAGAGGTTCTGTTGGAGAAAAATAAAATAGAAATTTTTTTTTCTTTTCAGTTTTGAAGAACTGATGTCCTTTCTTACTTCATTTCAGTAATTCATTATACTTTTTTTTCCCCCCACTCTTATGTTCTGACATTACTGCATACCTGACTCTAGAAACTGGAATTCATATCACAGAATCAGAGTGGTTTGGGTTAAGAGAGACTTAAAGATCATCCAGTTCCAACCCCCTGCCACAGGCAGGGACACCTTCCACTAGACCAGGTTGCTCCAAGCCCCTGTGTCCAACCTGGCCTTGAGCACTGCCAGGGATGGGGCAGCCACAGCTTCTCTGGGCAGCCTGTGGCAGTGTCTCCGCACCCTCACAGTAAAGAGTTTCTTCTTAATATCTAACCTAAACCTCCCCTCTGTCAGTTTAAAGCCATTCCCCTTTGCCCTTGTCGAAAGTCCCTCTCCAGATTTCTTGTAGGCCCCTTTAGGTAATGGAAAGCTGCTGTAAGGCCTCCCTGGAGCCTTCTCCTCTCCAGGTTGAACAAGTCCAACTCTCTCAGCCTGTCAGTTCATCTCTCACTAGGATGTACAACCTACTTCAGCACAGGAGATCCAAAATCTGCCCCCACAAGTGCATGGGTGAGCTCAATATGACCCTAGATCTGACGAATTTACAGATTTTTCCAAGAGTGGGAACAATTTATTTGAACAAAGAATGGGATTTTCAAGAATAAAACCAACTTCCTGCAGGCTAGGTGTGAAAAGTCACCTGACTCTGCCTGATGCAGCTGCAGCTGAGTCATCCTCTGTTCCGTAGCAAAGGCACAGAATTATTTACCAGAATTCTTAAAAATGAAGGGAAAAAAGGTACTATTTTATTTTTCTGACTAGTATAAGCTCAAAAATTGATCTGGCTTCTTGTCTTCTGTCGTGGGTTAAACCACAACATAATCTAATATTTGTAATTAGAATAATTTAAAAGTAGTAAAATACATTTAAAAAGAAATACAGAAAAAAAAAAAACCCACCACAGAAGATTCACCATTTTTTTCTGCACAAATATATATGTCTTCATATATGTGTATAGAGTACATAATTAAACACCCACACCAGAAAAAGAGATGAGACTCTGGCCTTTGCTTATATAAATACCAACAGTTCAAAAACGCAGTTCAGCCTGGGATTTTCAGCCTTTTGGCAGCTGGCATTTTGTGTAAGAAGTAAAAATGTGCTTCTCATCTCGCATGTTCCTTTTGGAAAAGAATATTTCATGCTTATATTGGACAACAAACAAAACGTACCTTTCACTACAGCAAATTATGCGGGAAACCTGCCGGACTAGGTACTTTCAAACCGCGTCAGCAAAAATTAACAATGGAGGAAAAGCCTCTTTCCCCAAATACAAGTTAATCCTCATTCCTTTATGAGTTTAGACACATCTATCTGTATAACAACTTCCTTCAGGCATCCAGGAAAAAGAAAAGGCAGGGAATGCAAGCAGAACAGTATTGCTGCGCTCTCTCTGCACGACCGGCTGATGATGGCTGCTGACATCCGAGAATTCGGCAGACACCCGAAGGGGCCATAGCAAAGTAACAGCGACAAAGGGCCTTCTTCATCTTTAAAGCTCCATCTGGCAGCATTTCTGCTGGAGATGTGAGCTGGGAGCTCAGCACAGACCCAGCAGCAGTGCCTGCACCTGCAAGCCCTCTGCTTGCAGGGGAGCTGCTCTGTTTCCTTCCAGCAGAAACCCTGCCCGACGGAGCTGGGGCTCCAGGATGGCAGCACGAGAAAAGCAACCAGCAAATCAGGCTTTCCGCAGCATTGTGTCGCTTACCTGCGATGCAACATCATTTAGCCCAGTCCCCAAGATTCTAATAGCATCCTTTCTTGGGTGGTATGGCTGCAGAAGCGGTGATGTCATGGGGAGGAAGCAGTAACCATCATGTGACTGCATCCTCCCTCTATAGGGTATCTGATAGGAGACGCGGCCAGAGGCAGCCGGGGCAGTGTGTAATCCTGCAGGATTAAGCTGCAAGCCTCTTTACCCTGCCCTCCCTATTCGGTCACCCCCAGAACACGGGCTGCTTTCCCCCTCCGCCCCTAACCTGAGCTTGTTATTTTTAAAAGGGTTTGTGGATTGTTCTGCTACGGCAACAACGATCACGTTTTTCACAAGGATAAAGCACAGTAAGTATGCAGTGTGCAGTCCACGAATTATCCTGTTGACTGCAGCAACACCCGGGCGTCAGATTGTCTTTCAGCTCTATGAAATATGTAATCACAGCAGCTTGGAAACAATACAAACCATGACTTCACCATCCCTTGCGTTTTTCCTTCTCCCGGTGCTTCATTTCAAGCTTATCCAGACTGACTTCCCTCCATCTTCTGTGTCAGAGTCAAGCTTTGCAAGCTTACCTCAAAGGTTTCATCCCTGTTACCTTCACTTCTTTTACTCCACCGTCCATCCCTCACTCCACTTGCAGCCTTCTGCCTTTTCTTCAACACAGCTGTCACTGCTTAAAAGAGCCTCTCCTGTATGCCAGCCTACTTTTCCTTTTCAAAACTTCTGCTTCAGTTTTCCCATCGAATATTTCAAAACTAGAACATCCCAAAATGTTTTAAAATAAAAAAAAAAATAATAAATATTGTAATAATTTAAAAAAGGTAGTTACCCTGACTTTCCTGTTTCGGTTAACTGAATATTACATCTCAGAACCATATTTTTGGAGGATTTTGCAGGTTTTCAGTTTTGTTAAGAATTTTTTTATACTCTACAACGTATCAGAGTTCTACAAGAAACTTAATTTCTAAACTTCTGATGTACAAATTTTGTACAAGCCACTAGGATAGTGTTCCGCAAGGCAAAGGGTGTAACTATTCTTTATGAAGATCATGTACATGTTCATACCTATGCAATGTGTTTTATTTCAGGACACTCACCTTCCCGCTCATTTTTCCCATATTTGAATATTGTGTGGTCTGGTTTTACCCTTAAGGGCATCCAGGGATGTGCTTTGTATTACCAAGGAGATGCAATAGCTAGGCAGGGGGAGACCTTGCACAAGCACCCATGAAGATATCCTTGGGTGACTGAAGGTGCACGCATGACTTCCACTCACTTCAGAGGCTGAGGAATGCAGTTCTGAAGACCTTTTTGCCCAAGTGTGTCTGAGCAGGTATTTATGGATGCACTAAGAAGGCAGCCTGGCCCAGCAAAGCAAACCAGTTGATTCAGGGTGTCCAGAACCCTTTTTCAGAAGGGCTACACAGCTCGCCCAAAACTAGTCTACAAGCTGAAGACTCCCTGTACAGAAGCAACACATTGGATTTTACTGTGACATCTGAACACTTAGCTTGCTTCACCTGAGTTCCCACACCTTTCTGGAGCGAGGAACATGCTTTCAGAGTAAACGTTTGATCTGGAGATGACTGTTCCTCACCACTCATGGACCTCCAACAGCCTATTATAATAACCATGAAGTGTGGAAAAGTGAGAGAAGTCCTAACTTCCTGCCAGTGACTGTTCTTCATGCCCATTAAAATCAGTATTATTAGGCCAACTGAATTCTGGGACAGAAGTTAAACCACCACTGACTACTTAGTTTTTATTTTCTTGATAATGTATCTGCAATTTTTCTTAATCACTTTACGAGAGGGAAATACAGAAAACAGCAAGCAGCACTTAGTTGGTCAGACATGAACACCTGAACCTGGAACTTCTGTGCCACAAGACACACAATTTAACACAGACACCATGCCACAGGCACAGACTAGCTATTTTGTGCAGTAAACAAAAAAGTGCAGGGGTCTCGATCCTCCATTTTTCTCTTGCTCTTTCCTAAATTAATTTCCTAATTTTTCCTTGTCTATTACCAGGGCTGACCTCATTCAGTCTCCAGCTGAATGTGTATTTTCACTTGGACTGTCTAACTGCAAACTAAAGGGACAGAATACCTAATTCTCTGCAGAAAATGTAATTCTATAACCTAGATATGTACGTTAAAATCTAAGACATTATTAGAAATCGTAAGAAACCAGAAACAGCTCCTAAGAAGAATGAAGAATCCCAAGAATGCTGAAATTTTCCAAAGTGCAAGCAAATCACTTAACTGACATTCAGAGATTCCAAACCATATCAACTTTGCTATTTGGTATTTTCTTCCAATGATACTCAGTCAGCTGCACAGTCGCAGGACAAAGAGAATACTCTCCACATGATCTTTTGGAAAAGATTGTTCTTGCTTTTGCTAGCCTGTAGTTTCTCAAGTCTCTTTGTAAATACATTTTTCCTCCTCTCAAAGATGTATGACTATAATTAAAAAGGAGACTGGAGTCAAAATGAGCTGTGAAGTGCCCTCTTCCCTGAAAATTCCAACTTCAGTTTTGCTTCCAATGAAAACAAAACACATAGTTCATCTAATTAAAAAAAGAAAAAAAAATACTCCTTTTATACAGCACTTACCTTTAAGTCTTGCAAAGTGCTTACAAGAACTGCATCAAGAAACACATGTAAGGCTTCATTCTTATAACAGAAAACCCCCACCGACGTACCCATTATAGCTTTTGTTGTTGATCCTGATGGTAGCGAGACAGGGACGGCCTGGTATTCCAAGCGACTATTTCTAGCTGACCATTTAAAAATAACCTTAACTCTCATACCCTTAACACCAGGCAAATACTGGGCAGAGGCAGGAGTCACATGTCAGTACTGCAATTTTGCCTGTGGTCCTGCAGCTTAGGGTCACACAGAGAAACCGAGAAATGCCCTTTCTGTAATTATGCAGGTTTAAAGTTTCCAGTGGCAGTAAAGTTCAGCCTAAAAAAGTTAACGAGTATTCTTCTGAGTGGATTCCACTTTGCAATTAGTCGTAGGTAAGATACTACAGAAACAACAACATCAACTTACTTCCAATACAAACCGAGAAACTTCAGGTAGGTAAAAAAGGCAGTTCAACATGTTGTAAGTGGAGCTACCCGTGAATTCCAGGAATATTCAACTCTGAGCCTCTGATACAGCTGTCAGTTTATCGCAAGCGATAAGCATGCGGGAGAACATACCTGCCATTCCTTACTCTCTGCATTCCTTTCAGGTCTTCAGTGTAGCCTGCCTAGGATCTCTGATTTCACATTATTTCCTCTCTTTTATTTGAAAATTCATTACATTAACCTACATGACAGCATTATGCAAAATACAAAATTTCTTTACAAAAGCATCATCATGAATATGGCAAGTATAACCCATTCAAAAGATGTCTTTGACAGATAACAAAAATCTATTTCCTCTTATGGCAAATTGTTTTATTTTGTAGAAGAAATACTTTCAAATAATACAAAAATGACACAATCATACAGAACTGTGACAAAAACAAGAGAGATGAATACTGAATATGATAACTCATTACCACATCAAGACAGAACTCATTACAGCAGTCAGAATCACAGACCCACGAGATACACCAACAACATCTCACAGCGGTCACTATTTAAACACACCTGCTGAAACCCCTGCCAGAGAGGCCACCAGATACTGCCCCTCAATTATACAGGTACAGACTAATTTAGGAAGGGAGAGAGATCCTTGCCCTAACCCTTGCTCAAAGTGGGCCTAATGTGACCAGGATGCTCCAGGACATGTGTCCAGTGAAGTCCTCAACCCCTCCGTGGACAGAGAGCTCCACCTCCCTGGGCAACCTCTTCCAATATCTGACCGCCCTAAAGGAACACATGGTGTCTGTTCTCAGTATACAGCAACTACTTCTGCAAGTGTCCCTGCATGGTAACTTTTGATAAACACTACTATGTAGGGGCCTCCACTGAAAATGAGATGTGAAATTCTGACCAACTGTTCTTTTCAAGTAATGAGCACTGAAAAGGTTGCTGTCCCTAGACTTTTAGCCAAACACTATAAATTTCTTACATGATTTGGTTTTTATCTGCATAGTTTCTGAATGTCTAGTTGTGCCCAAGGAACCCAATATACACCCACTGAAGCTTACTGGCAAAAACAGACTTGAGGATGGTTAGCCTGAAAAATGCTAAATATACTCTAATTTCACATATATTGCTATACGATCTAATCACTTGATGCCTGTAATGAATATAGGCCATACTAGGAAATGGGGAATACTACCTTAAAGGTCTTTGTTAATCATCCTCATTGATTAATGATTTAGGTTTACCATCTTTTTTCCCCATTACTTTTTTCCTCAGCTTAAATCAGTAAAAGCAATTCAGTTTCACTTTCAGGTTTTCCTGATCTTTGACAAGGTAGAGAGTGTAAGTTCTTGAATCTCACAAAGAACACTTACAAAATACTTGAAAATATTCTGGTTGGTTCTGATAAGTCCATTCAGGTTTTGGCTGTTGCTGCTTTGATTTCCTGACATACAAAAATCTGGAACCAATTCGACCCTTATTTTAATGAAGAGACAGTGGGATCTTCCTTCTAGGAGATTCCAGCAAGTTGCAGAATCAGTCTTGTGTTGGGCACCTCTCTTTGTAGGTAACGTATAATTAGAAAAATATGAGACACTCTATTATAGTAGCTTAGTAAAGAAGTATTGTTACATACTTGCAAGTTGCAAGGACACAAAACTGGCATTCTCGGGAATTTAGGGTGACAGTGTTTCACTAAAATGGTCTCAAGTAAAAATATTTCTTACTGACTCGTAGCTGGTCCAACTAGCAATCAAGTGAGCTGTATCTTCTAGAATTATACACCTTCCTCCTGGAAAGTGGCACTGTTCAACAGAACTTGCATGCAGTAAGCTCAAAATACATCCTTCAGGATGAACACGTGTTTAAGCACCCTTCCTCAAAGCAGCTGCTTTCTGCAATCAGCACATATGTATTTCCTGAATCAGCTCATAATTTTTAAAATTGAGAAATTACGATCATATGCCTTTAGTGG